TATAATATACACACACACTCTTAACAGTTTCACCCTGTGGCACATTTCAAACTCTCAACAGCTGTGCCCATTGACTCATAGTACCCTCTTCTCTGACATCATTTAGACCATTGAGAGACTTGAATCAAAAAGCAATAGAGGGCAGTGTTCTTCTGCTATAGGGAGATTACACACACACATACACATTTATATATACAGTTTCCATACATATATATAGTATATATGTATATACTATATATACATATATATGGTATACATATATATGTATATATGGTATATATATGGTATACATATATATAGTATATACATATATACTATATATACATATGGAATATATTCCTATATACACTATATATGTGTGTTTATATATATATACTATATATGTATGGAAACAGTATATATATGTGTGTGTGTATATATATATACACAGTATATATATATATATATATATGGAAACTGTATACACACACACACACACACACACACACACACACACACACACACACACACACACACACATATATATAGTTTCCATGAGTCAAAAAGAGTCCAAGTACATCCTAGCTGCATCCTTTGATCAGGGTCTCACAAGACTTCAATCTGGGTATTAGCTGTTCTGCATTCCTTTCTGGAGCCCAGGGTCCTCTTCTAAGCTCACGTGGTTAGCAGAATGTAATTCCCTGTGGTTGTAGGACCTAAGTTTCTGGTTTCTTACTGGCCGTCAGCCAGGAATTTCTCCCAGATTCTAGAGGCCACCACAGTTCCTTGCCATGTTGCCTGGCCAACTCACTGACTCTTTCATAATATGACATCTTATACTTCACCAAGACCAGGGGGCAAATCTCTCTCTCTTCTAGTCTCTTTTAAGGAGCTTACTTGATTAGGTCAGACCCAGCCAAGGCAGTCTCCCTTTGGTTAACTTAAAGTCAATTAATATGAAGACTTAATTGTATATGCTGAGTCCCCACACCTTTGCCATATAATTTCAGATAATAACAGAAATGATATCATGTCATCTTTGTCATATTATATGGATAGAAACAAGTTGCAGGACTTCCATCCAAGTGGAAAAGATAGCTCAGTGCCATTACTCATGGGAGATCATCCAAGAATCATGCCTACCACATCAGCTTTAACATCTCTTCCTTTAGTACTTTGCTGACCCCTAAAACTGAATTTGTCTGAACTCCCATGTACTTTTCTGCACTTACCCATCATAAAATGTATCCTACAGTATGGCAATGGCTCATTCCCCACTAAGTGTTAAGCCCTTCCAGCCAGAGTTTCTCTTGCTCACCAGCCTATCTGCAGCATCCTTCTGAATCCCTGGCAATTTTTCAACAGGTGACAAATGGAAGCAATTATTATTCACACAGCATTTCTTCAGAAATGTTAGTACTTTTCAATAAATAAGGTTTACGTGTCATATTATCTGCTTGGATTTTCACCCCATTCTCACATTCACCCAGTATCTTTACAGACACATCATAACAACTCAAAAGTTTACATTTTACTAACAAATAATATCCCTCACATTGCCACTAACAGTACATTTCTGGTTTATTTATTTTCTCACTGTTTTCTGATAGAGATGCCCTAACACTTGCCATGCTGCTTATATGTTCTAGTTTCACAATGCATTATTAAGTAAGCAGAACTTCAGGCCAAATTTTTTTTGTATTATATAAATAAAGAAAAATAGTTACCTAATTAAAGGCTGGAAAAAATAGTCCTAAAATTCAGGATTAAAATGAAAAAAAGTGTAAACCCTTGGAAAAATTATATTAGCACAATGTTTTAAAACACCTACAGGCAATAAAGGCTATGAGGAAAAAAAATTTTTTAAGACAAAATAAAGGGCAAGGTTGCAACAGAAAATAGATCCGTAGGGGGGAAAATGTTTTAAAGTCCCAAAACATAATTCCACAATGGCTTACTCTATCTAGATAAGCAATTCAACATTACAGAGGAAACCAGAAACTGACATTTATCAGTCACTTAAAAATCTATAATGCTATGTATCTGCATTCCTAGGTAATTTAAATTCCATAATATTATCTTTAAAAAATATGTCTGAAATTTAACTTTTTCACAAGTGGAGGCATAGTATTCTTTTTCAGGCTATAGCTGAGACTCCAGAAATTTTGATCTATTTTACTTTAGCAATTATGCAGGTAGAGAACCACCATGTGGACACATTTTAATAGTTCCTTGCTCTGTTTCCAGGTAAGTCTGTCACTGGGATAATCACAAAAATATGACAGCGCTATAATTATTAAAGACAGAAAGACAGGCTTGGAATTCAGAAGACTTTCAAATGATGGCCTATAGCAGTCTTTTTAAAAAGTTCTAAGGAAATTCCATAACCAGTTTATTGTGCCATTAAAAAAAAAGATATTATCTTTCTCCGACATGACTTAAGGATTCTCTCTCAGTGACGGACCTAGCTTCAAAATTCTCAAGAAAGCTTGTAAATCATGCGTAAAAATGGATGTAAGTTTAAATGCTCTGGGCTGCTCAGAGTGGAGAGAGGACCCAAAGATGGAGAAGAAATGTTTGGTCCTTTAAAAAGTCAGGCAATAAACAAACATAGGAAAGTGAATCTACAATAACAGAGTTTATTTCTCATTTTGTGCCTTATCTATGTTTGAAGACAGACCCAGCATACACCCTGTACCTGGCCAAGTGTGCTCTCTTGTCCTAGTAAGAATATCAAGAAAAAGGAGGATGTACAAGGCCCAACAAACCTTTTGCAGGCTGAAGAGAAATTGGCAGCATAATGATATCTGAAATCTATATTTATCAGGCTCTTACAGTAAACTCTGCTTTCTGCTGTCTATTAATAGCTGTCAGTTCTGCAGATCTGTAGTCAAAAGATAGCCAATGTCCATAATGATGACTGGAGGGCTGCAACAGCTTCCTGCCCCATCAAGAGATGTCACATGTCCTTTGAGCACTGAGCTACAACCATTCCTGCCAGGCTTGTGCTGTTCAGCAGCACATTCTGGGAGGAAGCCCTGTGCCTTTCTTAGGATCACTTCTAGCAGCTCAGAACTATTCCCCTTGCCAGCATGACACTAAGCCCAAAGTAAGGGACTCCATAAGTACCTGTTGAATTAATGAGTGGAAGTCAATGCTATATCAATTTTCCCCCTTAAGCTTATCTTCACTCCTCAGGCTGCAGTGGATAGCACTGTTTACTCATGCACATTGATGATTTTCCTCTGAATGCTCATGAACTTCACCCTTTCCCAAGGAATCTATACTAATAAGTCTTCGTACTTTGTCCAAAGGCCTTTTATAATTTCTTTTATATAATACCCCACACACAGACACTCTAATTGCCTGCAACAATGTCTGGCACATGGTGGTGCTCAGTACACTTCCTGTACCACAATATCTTTTCTGGGTTGCTACGATACTAATACTGCTAATGTCCATACAATTTTTCTAAATTGCATTAGTCACTATTTTTCAGACACACCTAAATTCTTCCCTGTTGTTCCCTCATTTCTTAATGTTCTCATGCCTGGGTCAATCAATGAACAATCTTTTTATCTGTAAAGGCCTAAATCAAATCTCTTCTCCTCCAGGAAGCCTTCCTTGGGTGTCAATGCTCTTCCCTACTCCAAACTCCAGTACTGCTGAGGCTGATCCTCTATTCCAATAATTCACCTCACAAAGAAGCCTTAATATTAAGTGTAGTAAATAAACATTTTAAGAATTTGACTGTTTTATCTTCAATATGAAAATGACTGTAGATTTAATCATAGAAATTTTGGATATTTGGAATAAGGCTGCTTATTCTCTAATAAAAGCAGAAAAATAGAAAGGTAAATATGTTTACTTTATACAATGGAATGATCTTTACTCTCAACATTATATAATGACTACAAATCAATTTAATTTGATTTTAAAAAAAGAACAGTAACAATTGTGAAAATTTTGAGGCAATTTGTTAATTGACTAAATTTTAATTTTGTTTGTTTGAGATGGAGTCTCACCCTGTTGCCCAGGCTGGAGTGTTGTGACACAATCTGGGCTTGTTGCAACCTCGGCCTCCTGGGTTCAAGCAATTCTCCTGCCTCAGCCTCCTGAGTAGCTGGGATTACATGTGCCTGCCACCATGCCTGGCTAATTTTTGTATTTTTAGTATAGACAGTGGGGTTCACATGTTGGCCAGGTTGGTCTTGAGCTCCTGATCTCAGGTAATCTGCCCACCTCAGCTCCCAAAGTGCTGGGATTACAGGTATGAACCACCACACCTGGCTTGATGTAGACCAATGGAACAAAACAGAAGCCTCGGAGGGAACACAACATATCTACAACCATCTGATCTTTGACAAACCTGACAAAAACAAACAATGGGGAAAGGATTTCCTGTTTAATAAATGGTGTTGGGAAAACTGGCTAGCCATGTGCAGAAAGCAGAAACTGGACCCCTTCCTGACACCTTACACTAAAATTAACTCCAGATGGATTAAAGACTTAAACATAAGACCTAACACCATAAAAACCCTAGAAGAAAATCTAGGCAAAACCATTCAGGACATAGGTGTAGGCAAGGACTTCATGACCAAAACACCAAAAGCATTGGCAACAAAAGCCAAAATAGACAAATGGGACCTAATCAAACTCCACAGCTTCTGCACAGCAAAAGAAACAGTCATTAGAGTGAATCGGCAACCAACAGAATGGGAAAAAATTTTTGCAGTTTACCCGTCTGACAAAGGGCTGATATCCAGAATTTACAAAGAACTAAAACAGATCTACAAGAAAAAAACTGACAAGCCCATTCAAAAGTGGGCAAAGGATATGAACAGACACTTTCCAAAGAAGACATACATGAGGCCAATAAACATATGAATAAATGCTCATCATCACTGGTCATCAGAGAAATGCAAATCAAAACTACATTGAGATACTATCTCACGCCAGTTAGAATGGCGATCATTAAAAAATCTGGAGACAACAGATGCTGGAGAGGATGTGGAGAAATAGGAACACTTTTACACTGTTGGTGGGAGTGTAAATTAGTTCAACCATTGTGGAAGACAGTGTGGTCATTCCTCAAGGACCTAGAAATAGAAATTCCATTTGACCCAGCAATCCCATTACTGGTATATATCCAAAGGATTATAAATCGTTCTACTATAAGGACACATGCACAGGAATATTCATTGCAGCACAGTTTACAATAACAAAGACCTGGAACCAACCCAAATGCCCATCGATGATAGACTGGACAGGGAAAATGTGGCACATATACACCATGGAATATTATGCAGCCATCAAAAATGAAGAGTTTGTGTCCTTTTTAGGGACATGGATGAACCTGGAAGCCATCATTCTCAGCAAACTGACATAGGAGCAGAAAATCAAACACCGCATGTTCTCACTCATAGGCGGGTGTTGAACAATGAGAACACATGGACACAGGGAGGGGAGCACTACACACTGGGGTCTGTTGGGGGGAAATAGGGGAGGGACAGTGGGGGGTGGCGAGTTGGTGGGGGATGGCATGGGGAGAAATGCCAGATATAGATGAGGGGGAGGAAGGCAGCAAATCACACTGCCACATGTGTACCTATGCAACAATCTTGCATGTTCTTCACATGTACCCCCAAACCTAAAATGCAAAAATAAATAAATAAATAAATAAATAAAATAAAATAGTTGTCCCTATGCTAAATAGACAAAGGCCTAAACTTTGGATTTCTGAACATATAGCACAACACTCCATGTTTATAAAATTGCCCAATCAATTCGATTAGTGAATGTTTCTAACAAGGTTTGTAAAGGGTATGTACAACAAAGGCTGTTTTTTTCCCCCAAGGTAACCCAGTTAGGCTTGACAGCTTGTTTACAATAGTACCCTGAAGACACATTCTACAGTGCTCAATTATATAAATATACATTTGAGATACACACTCTGGCTCATAACATTTGTTAAACATCTGAATATGAAGTCAATCCAGTTAGAGTGTGTTCTTTGTGCCTCTTTAGTATGAAGGGAATGAGTCTCTATACCTTAAAAGTGCATCTATAACATTCCTCTTCAATTGGCATGTCCAATCATGGAAGTCAGAAAATAATTCAGAGGCCCCAATAAAGAAAAAATATATGATATCCCAAAAGATATTATGAAAATATGTAGCAAGCAGAGATGGAATACAAATTATGAGTAATATGAGAGGCACAGGGAAAATGGTCCTCTAATAAGACATACCTTTGCAGGGTTTAAATTTCTACCGCTAATGATTCATCCTTTCAGACCAAAACATCCCACAGAAATTCTCTGTTAAAATAGAAACATCACCTGGAATATGAATACAGATCAGCTATCAGCATCACAGACTCACAACAAGGGCCAAGAATCTCTGGAAACCCAAGAATTGTAACAATAGTGACAAAATAGGATGTTCATGACTTTTCCCTCACCCATTCCTTAAGGGCCTCCACTCTCTTCAAATTCCTTTGAAATAGCTCCAGAAATTTCCAAAGGAGTTTTCAGCTGCATTCCAGAAATTTCTCCTGGTTTCCAAGGTACACCTACCATTTTGGATATCTTGCAGCTACAGATAAGCAAAGGAATAATGATGCTATGGGAGCACCAAGGACTCTATGATGAAGAACTCTGCCTTCCAAGGTCCCTGCTGCTGTGAGTGCCATCAGTGTTCAGCTGCTGATGACAGATGCTGAAAGAATTCATGTCTTTTCTAAGAAGCCATTTCCCCTCGCAGCCAAATTTCTAGTCAACCAGTGCTCTTATGTCTTGAGCCTCAATGTATCAACATTACAACTTTGCTCGCTATTTTATTACAATTCTTGTGTCCCAGGGCCCTGGTTTGAATCATTTGAGGTAAGTCACAAGGACAAGCTTAGTGAGAGCCTGTGGTATCCTCCTTCTCTGACACCAGTTCTTTTCATCTGGGAAGTACCTTGTTCTCTCACATGAAGATACAAGTAAAGAGATTTTCAGGTTAAAAAAAAAAAAGCGGATTAAATACATATCTTTAATTTGATTCTCTCCTAAAACACCAAAAAACTACAGAAATTTGGGTTATTTAAAACCACAATTTCTTTTGGCTTCCAATGTTGCTTTTGAGAGGTCTGAACCACTTGTATTCTTGATTCTTTGCATATGACCATTTGCTCTTTGTTTTATTTCAAATCAGAAAAAAAAGTTCTGAAAAAAATTGCTGTCCATCCTATAAGGCTGAATAAGAGCTAAGATATCAATAAAGTGTCAGATAGAAGAAAGGCATTTTTAAACATAAAATGGCTCAAAAAACTTGTCTCCCTCAGATGTTTTCTTAGGAAACTATTGAAAGATTTACTAAAACAAAACAACAAAACAAGGCAGTAATACAAGAAAGATAAGAATGAAAGCCAGGAACAGGAGATCTAACTCGGAGAGGTATGTGGAACCCTCAGGATGAAGAAATGTTTTCAATCATCTAAAGCAGTCAGTCCAGGCCAGTGCCGGGCTGGAGGTCCTGGGAGAGACTTCAAGAAAATGAAACTCTTGACTGTCTGAGGTAAATCAAAGAACAGAGAAAATATTTCAACAACTGGAGTAAATATTTGAGAATACAGGAAGACAATAAACAAGTAATTCTAATTGCCAGAAATAATTGTTTAATGTGTAGACAAAGAAAGGTAATAACTGTTTATCCCATGGCTTAGCGCTGCATGATACACAGAATCAAATTGATGACCATGCCGAATATTATTCTAATCAAAAGTGTAAATTACTATATTGGGAGGATAGAGTATAAGAGGGCATTTTGTGAATGTTGGAGACAAGGGAGGAGAGTGCTAGGTGATAAGCTTCCATGTGACAGTTTGCTGAGAATGATGGTTTCCAGTTTCATCCATGTCCCTGCAAAAGACATGAACTCATCCTTTTTTCATGGCTGCATAGTATCACATGGTGTGTATTTGCCACATTTTTTTATCCAGTCTATCATTTATGGGCATTTGGGTTGATTCCAAGTCTTTGCTATTGTAAACAGTGCAACAGTGAACATATGTGTGCATGTGTCATTATAATAGAATGATTTATAATCCTTTGGTATATACCCAGTAATGGGATTGCTGGGTCAAATGGTATTTCTTTTTCTAGATTCTTCGGAATCTCCACACTGTCTTCCACGATGGTTGAATTAATTTACACTCCCAACAGTGTAAAAACATTCCTATTTCTTTTTTTTTTTTTTTTTTTTTTTTTGGGGGGGACAGAGTTTCACTCTTGTTACCCAGGCTGGAGTGCAATGGCGCGATCTCGGCTCACCGCAACCTCCGCCTCCTGGGTTCAGGCAATTCTCCTGCCTCAGCCTCCTGAGTAGCTGGGATTACAGGCACGCATCACCATGCCCAGCTAATTTTTTGTATTTTTAGTAGAGACGGGGTTTCACCGTGTTGACCAGGATGGTCTTGATCTATTGACTTCGTGATCCACCCGCCTCGGCCTCCCAAAGTGCTAGGATTACAGGCTTGAGCCACCGCGCCCGGCCAAAACATTCCTATTTCTACACATCCTCTCCAGTATCTGTTGTCTTCTGATTTTTTTTAATGATCACCGTTTTAACTGGTGTGAGGTGGCATCTCACTGTAGTTTTGATTTGCATTTCTTTAATGACCAGTGATGATGAGTTACCATGGCACATGTATACTTATGTAACAAGCCTGCATGATCTGCATGTGTACCCCAGAACTTAAAGTAAAATAAATAAATAAATAAATAAATAAATATCTTCTATGTGAGAAATCACAGATGCCTGATTCCAGAAAAACCAAGAGGTATATTATAAGCATGTTATTTGGAAATATGGAAGTAAATTCTAACAGCATCAGCTTAAAAGGTTAAAAGTTGCTACTTCTTAAGAAAAGGGATGAAGGCGATAAAGGATAATGACAGCTGATTGTTAACAACACTTGTAAACCTGGGTGACTAATGTATGTGTATTTATAGGCTTAATGAAAATAAAAGATTAGAATATTTAACACAGTCAAGCATCAATATAAGTCAACGCTACAAGCATACCTAAATCCCAGGGTGTACTCCAAAATGATGCAAGACTAAAATGAATGATGTTGTCATTTGAAGTGCTCCCACAGATATTGTAGCCCATTCACTTTTGACAATAGTCCTCTAAGGATAAATATTTGTGTCATCACTTTACAGATGAGAAAATCGAGCTTGGTGAGTTTAAATAACTTGTTTGCGGTCACAGCTAATTTGCTCATTCACTTATTCAACAGATATTTATGGATCAGCTCTTCTGCGTCAGCCAGGCTAGAATTTGGCCACAGACTTTACAGACCCTGGAATCTGTGTTCTTTCCCATCCCAATCTATCTCCCATGAAACCAGATTCTCAAAACAAAAGAGATTCCATAGACAGACTCTTTAAAAGAATATGATTCTAAAGGGAAGGAGAGGCTTTAAAAATATGTAATTCTGTCTATGCAAGCGAGACTAATTCAAGTGAGAAGGAAATGAGATTGAAGGTCAAAGTACCTAAAATAGCTACAATATTATCTCCCTTCATGAGCTCAGATTTTTTAATATGCCAAATGAGCCAGAAAGAGCTGTTAACCAAGAGAAAGTACAGAAAATAGGCACAAATCTATAAGATTTGAGTCAGAAAGATTGTGTACCAAAACAAGATAAAGTTTTATAAATGTTCTGGATCACCAAAAAACACTAGAAAGAATGTGGAAAGGAGGCTGCTTAAAGATGTTACAATGTTACCAAACATCAAAGAGCTGAACTACTCTTCAGTTTGTTTCTATTCTTGATGGAGGAAAAAACAGAAGAGAGCAAAATAAATATTGCTGAGAGGAGGTTGAAGACCAAAGCATGAGAAGAGAAGATGAGTTAATACTTAAAGAACTTATATGGACTTAAATAAATTTAATTTCCCAAACCCAATAGAATCGCATGTGAGGTTGTTGAATTTTTTTTTTATATTTAATTATGGAGTCATCACTGAAAAATAAGAGGCTTCTGGAGAAACGAAGATTGCTGAAATGGGAGGAAAGGTGAATTTTAGGAACTAAAGACTGATAGAATAGGCTCTAGATAATTCTAGATAAATTGTTTAGCTGTTGATTAAACCTTTCAGAAGAGAGAGTCAAAGGAAGAGGGAGCCTAGGCTTTGTGGACTAAAGCTGTGTGAGCACGTGGTAACTATGATGACTGCACGTCACAAACCCTCATGTCACAAACCCTTGCCCTTACTCCAATTGCTAAAGCCACCCTTTCTCCTTCTTTGCCCTTATTCCTCATACCTAATCTTTAAGCAGGACACATCCAAAATATGTCTTAAATCAGTCCTCCCATCTCTACTGCCTCCAATTGATCCAAGCGCCTTCTTATCTCACTTAGATTTTGTCATATAATTCTGTAACCAATATTCTCTCTTCCACTCTCTCATCTCCAATCAATTCTTCATATAGCAAAGAAGAGTTCTTTAAAAAAAAAAAAAAAAAAAAGGTGTTCTTGT